TGTACAGTTTTAGGCAGGTAGCACCTAAGAGGCAACCAGCACCTTTGCCAGATTTCTGTTTTCTATCAACACAATTCTGTGGCATCTTTAATCCCGATCAGTCTGGAAGTGGTTTCCAGAATTTCTAAGGTTTGTTTACAAACATCTCACTTTATCACACATTGAGGCAACAAGCTAGTTTAGCACTGATCAGACGCTGCAGAACAATTTACATCACAACCTGCTCTTAGACCTAGCTGTCTAAGAGTATTATGACCAGAAGAAGTTGCAAATTGCACTAGGTCCACATAAATTCTATTAAGAACATTGCTAATCTTTGAGGTTATGATTTTTAACTTATTTGAAAAGTAGTCGCCATAGGTTTAATTTTTTTTTTTTTTTTTAATTGAAGATTGACATAGTGGTATAAACAACTAACTCCACTGCAAACAGCTTATTGTGGCTGAGCTTCCACATAGAATTATGCTACATGTTCTGGGAAATCTTTCAGTTGCTTTCCTAAAGCCCTTTACTTACATCTCTCTTAGGAAACCAGACAGAGGTACACTGCATGGTGACATGCATTTAAAGATGATGTTTCATGATTTCTTTTTTCCATTGAGCACACTCATCTTGTCTAGCAGTAACTGAAGTGCCTGAATTGTAGGATAAGCATAGGTCTTTGTGTGCTACAGTAAACATGCTTCCAGTACTCAAATGTAAGAGGCGAATGAGTAAGATCTCACACTCAAAGGTTAAGAACAGAAATACCTTCATAATATTAAAATTTTGAGATCTTAGGGTTTCTGAGCTCTTAAATGATCCTCATATGGTTTTAGGAAGACACAAGTGTTTGTCTAAATTATGACTTTCAAGTGCACTCTTGGAATTGCTTGTTAGGTAGTTCTAAGTAATGTTTCAGGACTTTAGTGCGGACAAAGCAGGGAGATAGCAAATTGACACTATGCTGAAGAAACATTTTGTCCCGATTGCAACAGAGTTTTTAAACACTTGTAAAAACAATTTAAACAAATATTTTCTGTGGGCAAGGAAAAGGCCCTCTGACCTTACATGGTCTATAAGCTTGAATGCGTATTAAAATAGTTCATCGAATCTTTGAAAGGTGTATTTGTTTAAAAATAAGCACACTTAAACCTTACTCAAGACAAAAAAAAAAGGTACATTTATAAGATAAAGATAGACACTTACAGTCACAGGAAAGAAACAGGGACCTCTTACCATGCACAAACATATAGTGAAGAAACAAATAGAAAAAAATATCTGCTAGAATAGAAACTGACTTGCTAACACATAGTCAGAACATCAAGCTCACAGTAGCATGAGCATAGCCTAGGGTGAAAAGTGCTATGAACAATTATTATTTCATTTCTATAGTCAGCAGATACACAGTTAACAAATTAAGATATCCAGTGCAGTGAATACTGCTGACATATTTTTCATCTCTGATCTGTAACACTTTCTGGACTAAATATATGTTAACATGCATTATGCAGTCTCACAAAGATTACTATAAGAAGAACTAGCAAAAAGTAGGGCTGTGCTACTAAGCATATGCTTCCTGTGTTCTACTGAACTGTCAGCATTAAATAGTCAATATGGCCGTGGACCAGCAAATAGATCCTACTCTGTTGGTTTCAACAACAAAGCTGATAGAATAAGTGCCTTTACAACTAGCAAAGTAGGAGACAAAGCCATATTGACTTTCAGAGAACTGTCTGCCAGTCAAAAGTACATTCTTTTACAGGCATTTTATGTACTACGTAACGGAAAAACATGGATGCAGATGGTTGAAGTCACTCTTCTACTTACAATTCTACTCCAGAATCACAGTCACTAATGAAGATTTCCTCCAGAATAAATTATCTCCCTCCTGATGCTGTCACATTCCAAGCCAAGATCTATTAATTACTTCTTTGCTTCCCTGAACTCACAACTTCAGTCATCTTGTTGCCAATTGAACGTCTACCTTTGATTTTCTCTTTATGACCTTTCTGTTCAGAATTAAGCTCTCTGATGGAGAGGTTTCACTGAATCTAACATTTCTACACCCTCTGTATTTTCTAGTCTTTTCAGTCATCTTACCCTACCTCCTCCTCTTCCTCTCTATGCACTCTCCTCCCTTCTTTTATTTCTCTTTTCCTCCTATTACGACTTCTCTTTCTTTCCACACAATCACTTTTTCATCTTTAAAAGTTATTGTCAGCTCCACTTATATGCTACACTTCCCCTTTGTTTCTAAGGCAATCACATGGGATGCATTTACTTGTGCTCTACAGCTGCTCTTGTCAATCCAGATCATAGCAGCAACAGCATCTGCAGCTACTTAAAATGTTGAGAGATCTTCCAAGTCACGTAGAACATGTTTTGAATCACTGTCCTATATAACCAAATCTCTTCTCTTTAAACTGATGAGAGCAGTTTAAAGTCTCTACAAACCTTCGCCTAATCTTAGGACCAATATTCCTTTCTAAGACACTTCCTGCCTTCAATCTCTCATATTTTTCCTGAACTCTTGCCCCAGCTGACATCCTGGCTTTTCTGTTGCCTTTACTTTTGGCAATTCATTTGCAGGATGATTCATCTTACTCATCCAAATGCAGCCTTTCATGGACCTGAAGAAACCTCTACATTCAGCATCTCCTTCTTATCATGCTATTGAATAAACACTGGTGTAATGCTGATCTCTCAGATGTAGTGATCATCTACATGACTTCACACTACCTCATATGACCCTCGCTGTTTCTGTTTCCAAAGCACATTCCTATCATTCATCAGTTCAAGCTAAAAAGACCAAATTTGAGAGGTGAAAAAGCATACGGTAATCATCCCAAAGTAGATGTTTAAGTTAAACTGAATAAGCTTTCGGTCTTTTCTAAAAAAAAAAAAAAGGCCTCCTAACTCTTTACTTTTGGAATTAGCAGGTACAACACCACGATTGTAACTCACACTATTCTGTCCACATTGTCATCTTCTACTCAACACTGTTGTAGACCCACAGACAATGTAACTAACTCCAAGATCCAATCTTTGTTCCTTGCCTTCTTAGCATAGGTTTTGGATTAACTTGGCTCTCTGGACAAAACTTGTCTTTCTACAAAACATCCTGGAATCCATTTACAACACTTTGGCAAAGCTTAGCCTTCTCACTCTTCACTTCAACTTAGCATATCCCCCTTTCTCATTTCTTCCCCTTATCCAAACTGTAAGACAAATAACTTACACTTGTGTTCTTCACAGCTGTGTGTATTAATTCTTAATACCATCTTGGCTACACATTCTTGTGATATTCTCTGCATATATGGCAAAAGGCTGCCAACTTCCCCTTACACACCATTGTTGACAGCAGCCTCTCTTACACATTGTTTGGTTTTTCCAAACTTGTATAATTAAGTCCAGGAACATAAATGCAGCTGCATACTTTATACAGGAATTGTATTCGTAATTGTACACGTAATATGAGCAAGTGCAGTATAATATTAACATGATGCAGTATATATTCTGAAATGTGATGCATCATCATCTCTACTTAACTGCCTATTGTTCTCCTTAACCCTAGGCAGCAAACAAATCAAGGGCTTTTTCCAGAAAGTAAACATAATATACACAAAATAAATCTGTGCTTACATCTTAGCGGTTTCTGTATTTTTAATATTGAAATAAAACTTACTCAGATCATAATAAAGAATTTCTAGAATAATATACAAAATATCATAGGTCAGCATATCTGCGACTGAAGATATAACCTCTGTCTGAACAGAACTATTAGAGTACGGGGTAATATCTTTACGTTAGTACTATGCATGGGAAGAAACTTGCTCAGTCACTCAGTTTACCTGTAATTATTCAGCAACTATGCTTTTTTCCCCACCATTTTTCTCCCTACCCTCACCCCTCCTCAAACACCCAAATTAAAGTTTTTTCTATCTCCTCCTTTATTGGCACGATGATGTGAATAATTTTGGACAGTGTTTTTGTTGGTAGCTACAAGAACCTTCTTTAAGGAACTTCATTATCCAGGTTATCTACAGTTGTAACAGTTGCACTTTACAATTTATTTAAATACCCTACTGGGAAATTCCAACATAGCTTAAGAACACACATAATGTCATAGAAGATGTAGAAGTACAGACACTGCTATGAATTGCCCAATGAAGAGTCTAAATTTCTGCAGCACACATCATAATTCACATGCATATATAGCTGAACTTAAATGCAACGAAGACTTTGCCGCATATGCTTTGGGAATAGCTCATAGCACCAAAAGACACAGCATTAACAAACAGATGTACTACTTACAAGCAAATTATTCAGAATAATTTTGAGTGCCTTCAGTACTAACACATTTTAATAATATAAAAAATAAACACAATTACTAATGAAAAAGTTGGAAAAGGAAACTAGGGACATAGGGCTCAGGCAACAGTCATGCTTGTCCATATATTACAATTCTTATTGTAAAAAGACAAATGGATAACTGATAGGCTCAAAAAGGTATACAGTTGTGATTTTTGTTTGGATTCTTTCTGTTTTGTAGAGAAGCAACTTTAAATCTATACTGATAATGCAAGAAGCAATCCAGTGTTATTTCACCTAGTTTAAAAATAGCCAGGCTCATTTCAAAATGTTTAATCTAAACATGTTGTTTACACACATTATGAGAATATTAGTACAATACTCAAAATGTAATGATTACTTGCTAAAGTTTACCAAATTGGTACTTGAAGGAACAATAAAAAACATACGTAGAAGTATAGATGACTGGCGTTTGTCTTATTCTCTCAAAAAAAAGCAGTAATCACACTAATCTCTTAGCATATATTACACACATGCATAAACAGATCCACAAACCTATAAAAATATGCGGTCACCTACAGTATAGAAAATTCTCAGTTATGCCTTTCTAGTCCACTAATAAATCAATGTAATTCACTAGTAAGTAACCTAAATGTAGCCAGGACAGAAACAAATTAATACGATTTTAAAAACCTCCAGACACTCACCAAAAGACTGAATGCAGGTTTCAAGAAGATCTTCCAAAGTGGCCCCTTTGGCTAAGTGCCCCAACGGCACCATCGTGACCTGGGTAAGATTTGAAAGGCTGGGACAATGACTGATCGGCTTCAGCTCAAGTGCTGATTCAGGGGCAGTGCTGCATGCTTGGGCAGGTTGCCTAAAAGAAAGCACAATAGTGAAGTAAATACCAGAAGATCGAGTGGTAAATTTTACACTGCAAGGGAAAGGAGCAGAGATTTAAAGGACAATTAACTCCCCGTAGCTAGGGTGCTGAAAGACTTAACCCTCCCACTTAATACGCACACCAAAGAGACTGCTCAGTAAGTGACTTATTTTTTTTTCTGCTAAATGTGGATTGTAGAGCACACGTTATAGAGATCCTTGAATGATCTGTCAAAATTACCAGAGGTCTTGTTTCTTTCTTAAGGAGTTATGTTTATATTACTATTTCAGCACAAGCATAAAAACCCCTCAAACTAGGTAACAGGAATATTGTTATGCAGTAATTTACCACCACATATTTGTGTGCCCACCAAACGTAAAGGAGAAAAAAAAATTATAACTATAATCAAATATTACACACATTGGAAAATGCCAGACTAGCTTTATTAATTTCATTTAGAAAATCACTAATAAGTAAACAAAATATCAGTGCAACTTTATAGTGGAGTATTTCACAACTAAAAAAAAACAAACCAGATTAATTTGCATCTGTTCTATATTATTATTTCCTACTAAGTTGTTTTAAAATTGCATACATGACTAAATTAATGTCCTTAATAATAAAGGTAAAAGAGACCAAAATAAAGCATGTATCTAGTTTTAGGCTTGTTAGTTTGATCATACAACATCTTAGATTTCAAGAATGTGTATGTTTACAGATAACATTAAAGGATGTTCATTGTTCGCATACAAGTTTATAATTCTGTATGAAATACTAAATTTTATAAATTATAAATTTTATAAATTATTATATCAATGAAAAGTGCTGAAACATTTTTGCCTGTAAATAAAAGGAACCACTTCAAAAGCTGGCTTGAGAGTATAACCATGCAGTTCACAAAAGGGCAACAACCACTGCTGTTTCAATAAAACTTGGGTTTATTTCAGGGAGAATTTACACTCTACAGTCTTCCTAAACAAGTGACTCCCAGCATCTTTAAGATGCTATCTTAAGCTTTCATACAACTTTTCTTGGAACACTATGCAAGACTTTATTAATAAACTGACAGTCCTAGGAAGAAAAGGCACAGAAATTTATCCAGCGTGCATATTACATAAAGATAGGGCAGGTAAAGACACAAACATCCCCGTACAGGCACTCCTGGATGAAGCTGGAAATACGCATGCCTTATGAAGAGAGACCTGACCCTACCTCATCCCAGTGAATTTCAAGAGTTATCTTAAATTTCTGTTTCATCTGAATGCTGGGAAAGCCACGAAACTCCACCTGATGTCACTTATAACCCAACACTGACCCCAGGCCTCCATAGTTTCAAAGTCAAGAAAATACAGGCCGGGCCCTGCAGAGGTAGTGACCATCACTCGGCTCCTCCGTAGTTAAGCTGACAGCGGCTATGCGAAGAATGCCCTCTTCCCTTCCCCCTTTCTCTAAATTTCCCTCTTAGCTTTGTGATCTGACTTCCTGTTCTCATATAAAAAGAGCAAGGGCCTGATCAGCTTTCAGGGTTTTCTTTTCACAAGCTTAAACTCCTCTCCTAACTTTATTCCAGTGCCTCTTCAACACAGGGCAAAGGATCCTAGCAATGCAGTAGTAATAAAGCAGGAGTTACGGCAGAAGATATTTTAGGTCTTGGCAACAGAGTGTAGAAAAGCTGAAGTGTCCACACCCCCAAAAAAGTTTACAATAACACTGTGGCACACTTGGCAACACCGGACAGGCAAAACTCCGCCGGCGACGCGTCTGAAACTAACCATTCATTAGAACAGATCCTCTTGCAGCAGTTACTTGACATGAAAAATAGATTAAAGCTGTGCTGGGGGGTGGGACGAGCACCCTGCACTTCCACTGCACGCTATCTGGCGGTGGGGAAGGACCCACAGGCGAACGACCATCTGCTCGGGAGCGGACACCCGGGGCCGGCGGCGCTTCCCCGGCGAGGAGGGGACAGCCCTGCTCGCCGGCCCCGG